GGTAATCTTTTGTCCGTTTACCCGATATAAGCAGCTGACTTATGGTGCGGTGGAGAGCAGACTTTTTGTGGATGACCTGCTGCTCTCCCATACGTGCCAGCAATCGATCTATCTATCTATCTATCTATCTATCTATCTATCTATCTATTTGGATAATATGCTAAGTGTCCGTCTGGGTAATGACATCATGTAGCAACGCCGGCTTCCTCTCCCTAGTGACTAGCTTCCTTGGAGTTTCTTCAGCCCAGGGACAGGACTTGCTTTATAGCCAGGTGCAAACATTTCACACTTTAACCAAATGTCTGTGAAGTGTTTTCCCGTGCCTCATCTCATTTGATCCTCACAGAAGTCCTGGAACAGGTAGATAGGAGACTCGGTAGAATCCTATTTTCTTTTCATTAGCTGGAAAATGGAGAATTAGAAAGCTTAGAAACTTGACCCGACTGAAAAGAAGAAATGGTGGACCTTGAAAATGACTTCAGGTTTTCTCACTGCACAGAATATAGTCAAACACTACTGCAGTTACATATTTTACCCTTTGTTCTCCCTGCATGATCTACAATAATAATCTGCTTCGTGTTGATATTTACTGCTATGTTGCTGACAATTACCTAAAAGTGAAGTTGGGGTGCTTCACTGGGCTGGAAAAAGTTTAGCTAAGTCAGAAAGCAGGTTTAATTAAGCAAGTTTATTCTATGTCTATAAAAGGCTAAGTTGACTCGTGCATGTGCTATACATATAAAGCTCTCGCTGGCGCCAATCGCATGTGTGTTTCCATCTGTCATTGTTGATCGTGAATTTGGTTGACACTTCTATTATAGAGAAAGGATGAATAGCAAAATTAAAATATTTCTTCTAATTAATTTCCTTTCAATGTGCACAAATTTGTGCACTGGGCCACTAGTGTTAGAATAAAAGCTCATATGATCCAAACCTGTCTCTGCTTAATTGGCTCAAGTAGTGACAGGGACCCATTGATTGTCTGGGTATACTCTGATGTTTTTTATTATATAATCTATGCCATACTTATTTTCACCATGTGTGATGTACTCTGATATTTCCTATTATCCTCTACTAGAGGCCTGGTGCACGAATTCGTGCACCAGTGGGGTCCCTTGGCCTGGTCTGTGGGATCAGGCCGAAACCGGCTCTCCTACATCCCCTGAAAGGTCCTGGATTGCAAGAGGGCACAGGCCAGGCTGAGGGACCCCACTGGTGCACGATCAGGGCTGGGGAGGGACGCAGGAAGGCTCCAGGGCGTATCCGGCCCATCTTGCTCAGTCCCGATTGGCTGGACCCCAGCAGCAAGCTAACCTACCAGATGGAGCATCTGCTTCCTGGTGGTCAGTGCATGTCATAGAGAGTGGTTGAGCAGCCTTAGCATATCATTAGCATATTACTCTTTGATGGGTTGATGGGATGACTGGACACTTAGCATTTTAGGCTTTTATTATATAGGATGCTATCTCAATAAGAAATGCTGGGAAATACTCAATAAATTCATTGCACAAACAAATCCCACTATTGAGCAATGACTTTGAGGGCCAAAAAACTCCAAGAACTCCCAGGATCCACTGGGCTCCGAGTCCTGTTTCCAGCTTCCCCCGCCCCCCAGTTTCAGGGCCTGCCAACCTGCCTCCAAACCACGTGCCTTCCTTTGCATGGGCTGCCCTCTCCCAGGTGAGGCGGGCACACCAGGTGAGGGCTTCAGACCTGCAGGCTGGGCTCCAGCGTGTGCTCTCCCAGAGGCCCAAGTCTCCAGGATTGCTGAGCCAACGAGGTACCTGGAACTCCTGGCTCCCACTGCACCGTGGACCCAGTGACTGTCCCATGGGGTGGCTGGGGAGCTCCACCTGGTGAGGGGTCACCATCACACCCACAAAAGCAAACACCATTTCGGGGCAAAATGCAGCCTCTCGCTTTTCCTGTCTCTTCTCAGGTTTCCAAGCCTGTGGGCCACCTCTCAGCGCCCCCTGTAGGGAAACTCAGGAACACTGCTTCTTACACAGACTTCTCTGCTACACTGATTACTGCAAGTTGTAATAATCAGTTATAAAAAACACATTCTCTACTGGAGTATGAACCCCACTACCAAACCTGGGTGTGTGAGTGTGAGTGTGTGTGTGTGCTCGCCATTGGAGAAATGATGGAATAAATGGGTGTTGTTTAAGCCCATTCAGTCTAGATTAAGACACAGTAGGAACTGGCCTCTGTCGGTACTAGGGACCCACTAAGGACACGGAGACGGAGTAAATGAGCAGGGGTTGGAGGATGAGCAGGGGTGTGTGAGGAGGGGACAGGTGGCACTAGATTGGAGAGGAGACTTGGCCTTAGAGCCAGGTGGGCCTCGGCTCAAGTGCCAGCTGCACCACAACCAGCTGTGTGACCAGGGCCTGGAGGCAAAGCGTGTGGGCCACAGGCTGCTGGGCACAGACTCCCGACTTTGCCACCTGCTGGCTGAGTGACCTTGGCCGGTGACCTGACATCTTGTTTCCTCAGAGAGATGCTGTGGGGATGAAATGAACATGCAAAGCATCCGGAGAGCGCCTGGCTCATGGTGCACTTATAATGACCAGTTATAAATTCATAATAAATGATATCACTGCTCCACCTTCCTGAATCTCCATTCCTTACTCTGCAGCAACAGGTTGCAGGTTTATTTTAAATGAAAAGGAAATACAATTTGTAAAACGAGGTTTCACCGAACACTACTTACTTGGCATGATGTATTCTAATCTTATACTATCTCATTAAAGAAAAGAAGTATTGCCCTAACCCGTTTGGCTCAATGGATAGAGTGTTGGCCTGCGGACTCAAGGGTCCCAGTTCGATTCCGGTCAAGGGCATGTACCTTGGTTGCAGGCACATCCCCAGTGGGGAGTGTGCAGGAGGCAGCTGATCAATGTTTCTCTCTCATCGATGTTTCTAACTCTCTATCCCTCTCCCTTCCTCTCTGTAAGAAATCAATAAAATATATTTTTTTTAAAAAAGAAGTATTGTCAGTGAGCCAGCAAGTGGATTTCATGATCCATTGATGGATAGAAACTTAGGTTAAAAACAAAACAAAACACCCCAGCCTACAGAATATATTTTAATAGACTTCATTTTCCAGAATAGTTTTAGTCTCACAGTAAAACTGAACAGAAAGTAGAGAGCTCCCACATACCCGTGCCCCCCCCAGCGCCCCCCACTGTGGACAGCCCCCACCAGAATGAGACACTGTTACCATCCATGAACCTGCGCTGACACGTCGCTGACACTCACAGGCCATAGTTTACATCACGGTTCAGTGTTGGACATTCTGTGGGTTTGGACAACTGCATAGGATCCATCATCACTGTCTCCTACAGCGCAATCTCCCTGCCCTAAAACCCACCTGGGCCCTGCTCTAGCATCTTCCTCTACCGCGTGCCCAGGCCACAGGTGATGCTTGGATCATCTGCAGTGCGGGGTGATGGAAAGCCGGTGCAAAGGCCCCGCAGGTGAGTGGGAAAAGACAGCTGCGGCCCACAAGGCTGGGGAGAGCAGGTGTGTGTACCAGGCCTCAGGCCTCCCGTGACAGAGTAGGACTGGGAGGCAGGGA